GACGTAAAACTAAATCAATCCGGAATTCACTTACAAAAAAAGAAAAAAGAGGAAATGAGCAACCCCTGTGGGCAGAGCACATCGAGCATGGCTGGCACTGAAACATCCGACTGCTGGGTAGACCTGGCTTTGAAATGATGGGATGTTTTAGGGGTAAAGCAGACCTTGGCACGTATGTCAAAGAGTGGATCAAATCAGTGTCAGAGAAAGTCCACATTCTGGTATTAGAATACCGACACAGCAGGACATCCTTTAGATGTCCAAGAACAAATACATTCTTATTGCTGTGGCAATAAAAAGGGACCTGGGTAACTTTAAAATATTTGATAGCAATATATTAACTTTGAAATAAAACAAATGCATTATATAAGAGAGATTTAAAAAGAAATACATTATAAAAAAATCAATAAAAAGGGGGGTTTATTGGCAATTTACCTTAGAGACTGACAAATGGAGATTTATGTTTATATTTTTTTTTTTATTACTTCGACATCATATGTCGTATGTCGGAAATTTACTTCGGATGTCGACTTCGTATGTTGGAAATTGCGTGTGTTTAGGCAATCGTAAGTAGAGGTTCTACTGTTTCTGTAAAGAATGTTACGGTGAGCAGGGGTGAAACGTTGTAGATGAATACAAAGATGTCCTTACAGCTAAAGGTTTTTCAGCATGCTGATTTGCTGGTTTACGTCTTAAAAAAATGAAAAGATTATCTGGATGACCACCTTATTGATTCACTGCATGTTGAATAAATCAGTTTCCATTAATCAACAAAACTCACATTTTGAAACCTCTGTATTGTGATTTATCAGCTAGGAGCAGTTCACATGTAATTTTCAAATATCCTTTCACTTCTATTGTAGGATAAGTTAACAACACAAATTTTTTGCATTTTTTTCACGTTCAGTATTTTGGTGGTTAAATTTCTTTTTGATGAATGAGGACAATCACTACTCTTTTATTAGCTTATTATCTTATTTTCACTCTAGTGCGTTTGCCTATGCATGCAAGGATAGAAATACATTCAGAGATCAGTACATAAAGAGTTGGCGTGGCAAGATTAATAATACAATAATTTCATTAAGGAGTGAAATGGACTCTTTTGCTGACTGTGGGAGGTCAGTTTCATTAACTTTCACAGATCCATTACATGACACTTTATACCAATCACATAACCAATGTAATAATTATTGGTTTCCTGTTACTGGTCAATTTCATGTAATGAACATTGTGTGATTAAAGGAGCTGGCAAGGTGAACCTCGCTTCTAAAGAGACATGAGCAGCGGTGAAGAGAGTTATTCCAAATCGTGCTGCCAAAAGGGCAAAAAATAGATAACTGAAAACTAGCAGGTGTGATGCCAGGGACGTTTTTTTTTCTTTAATGCTGTTGATCATGTCAAAACTCCCAAACTCCAAGCCAACAGTTCCCTGACATCAAAAAGATGACTTTAGTCTAACTGATTGAAATGTAAATGGCTCTGAATGCTAGAGCCTGTGGCAGTGGTTAGAAAGAGGACTTCCTGTGACAGGTAAAACTATGGTGATGGTATCTATGTGTACTAGTTTGAACCAATATGCTTTTGTCTGGACTTAAGAAGCTATCTAGGGAGAGATTCCCCTCCGTCATAATTTTGCAAAGCTGTATATATAATTTGACACACAGCACTGAGCCCACCGTAACCTCCTTATACATTGCCAGGAGGCAGGAGACAGGCATGGATTTACTGAAGCTTGTGCAAATATAATGAGAAATATAGTAAATAAGGTAAAAAATAGAGTTACTGGAATTCTAATGAGCTTCAAAGTCCACATTTGGTGGACATAGCAATATCCATTGACCCTGCCAGCCCTCTTAGACAGGCATGCCTGTAATTTCTTTAAGTGGTCTTCAGGAAAGGTTCTCAAGGCTTCCTGGAAGACGTTCCAAAATCCTTGGCCCTTGGGAGGATTCGCCGCTTAATATGATCTGCAGCCACTGATTCTCAGTCCACCTCTTTTGTCATTTGGCATGCTTCAGCCTTTTCTCACCATTCCAGTCCTTATGAGTAGCTTCTTGAAAGCGAACTATTGCGGAAGTCATATCTGATGAGGCTCCGGCAAACAGTAGAAGAACCAGTTGAGGGATCGCCTAGTTGCTGTGGCAGGTTTCAGAGAGTCTTTTTCTCCCTTTTTTTATCAACATGCTTACAAAATTTCTGTAGGTCTTGAAATGTATGTGACAGGCAGATCAAAACATCACAGCAAAATATCAAACAGCATCTCTGATGTTAATTAACACTTCTACTCAAAAGGATCATTTTAGGCCATGGAGTGAAACACTTGTATCCACTCTGACCATCTCCTCCTGAGGGTCTGCTTCTTTTGAGTGCTGTGGAACATAACTTGAAGAGCATGTTATTACCATGTGAGAAAGCATACAGTAGATTCCCTGAGAGCTCTGATGTTTAAATATAACTTCCAGCTGGTAACAAAACAAAAAAAACAGAGAAAGCCATTGAGTACTTAGATTTCCTCCTTGAGATGTGAATGCATTAAATATGGAAATATTTGAATAACATTTGATCAATATCACCATCAAGTTTTACATTCAAGGTAGAATAAATGCTGTGTGTTGTTATTTCCGGACTATAAGACACTATTTTTTTCACACTCGTTGAACACTGTGGCTTGAACAATAATCAGGCTAATTCCTGCAGTTTTACATGCTGATGAGCTTCTTGCCGCCAAAATGTTTAGTCTTATCACATCAGACCAATGAAATGACCCAACAGGTCACATTTGGCCACTGAAACCTGAAACAGTTTGAATTATTTCAAACGTACTCGCACAATATCCGAGTGCGTTCAATAGTCTGAAATGATGTGAATCTGAGGCCACAGCAAGGCGGGATAGAGGGCTGGATTACCATTTGGGTTGTGTGTCAATAGAGACATGACAAAAATATATATGCCCTTAAGAACAGAAATAAAAATAAAAAAATTATTCAACTCGAAAATGCACCCTTAACTGAAGAAACTAGGAAAATTCTAAATCTATTAGCTACAGAAAAATATATTTCTTAAAATCCAGACATATAAAAAATGTGACTTATTTTTTGCAATAATGTACATGTTACTTTAGTATAATGAATGATAGTTTCTCATTTATATCTCTTTAGACTTTTTTCTGTACATCTAAAATTAGCATTGTAATATATATTCTCCCAATATAATTATTTGGAAACATTTAAATTCCTCTTGTATTATATCTAGGCTTTGTCAAAAAAGTAGGAAGATTCCATTTCAGTGACAGACGATGCGCTTTCTAGCCAAAAAGGTCCAGGATCTATTTGGAGGATATGTACGATCACTCTTGAATACACAAAAAAGCACTTGCACTGACTAAGGTGCAACACGATTTATTGTGTGTCTTTAAATTGTTAGAATAGGAAACACCACTATGGTTTTTGAGTTGCTTATTATAAAACTTAAATTTTTTTATTTTATCAAATTCTTCAATGGCCTTGGGGAAGGAAACAAAGTAAATAGTCCCTCTTTGTCCTTCAAGAGAAGAACAGACCATCTTAAATGTCCTTTGGGCCACACAAAGCTTGAGGGTTACTATAGCGTTACTAGATGCAAATGACTGATTTGGAGTTTAGCATTAGTCTCATCAGCAAACAGCTAAGGGAGACCAAAAGGGCACACCAATCACTCTCTCTCAGCTGATGTCAAAGGAAGCCAGAGGGCTGTCTTAAGTGACAGTATGTTAAAGAACGGCCCGCATAAAGAATTCTAAAGCTCCCTTTCTGATAACCATGAGAACAAAAGCACTAGCTTCTAAGTTATTCTTGCAGAAGAATTCTGTGATGTGTGTGCATGTGTATGTGTGTGTGTGGTGTGTTTTCATCTTTTTTGTTGTGATGATCATACATTTCCATTAATATGTCGGAATGGGGCTTACATATTTGCAATCATGTCTTAATACAGTGACAGTATCTTCTGCAAATCAAGCCAAAGATATGACAGCAAACACACTCAGGCCCATAGAGCATGAACCAAGTTGGCATCATTTCTTCCCCTTGAAGTGAGCTGTAGGAGTAGAGAGTGCTTGCATGTCTGCACAAAAATATTCATGCCACTTCAACAAAATGCTTTATTCATTGGAAGCATTCGCAAAAAGAGAATACATTCGACGAAATGTAAAGAAAGATGAGTTGATTGTATATATGTGCAAACAGATCTGTGAGCATATATATGTATGTAAGCAATATAAATAAATATGTGCACGCACACTCACAAAACTTTTTGCATGGGCAAAACACATAATCAGCAGGTCCAACATGCATACTCCTCTACAGCTGTTTTGTACGCCTAAGCAGTATGAAAACAAATGAACAAAAAATACACATCTACTCCCCAGAAACAAGATGTTATGCAGTTCCATGCAAAGTTGCTGAGCTTTGCAAGCAGAGCTGCACATTAATTATGTTGCTCCTAAAAATGAAAATATACTATAGTCAATAATGTTACATTTGAAGTTATAGTTTGCAGTCTTATCATAGCCACAACTGCTGCAGATGCAGTTCAGAGGATGGAAATGTTTGGGAGCGTGAAGTATGTTAACACTTTAACGACACTGCAAATAACAATTCATTAACACTCCCTTCATTGTTGTGTAGGAAGGCTATTTCCAGCCAGAGGATGCAAAAAAAATGCGTGGAGAGGATTTGTTCATAGTAAGAAATGGTACAGACTTTGACGTGTGATGCCGCTAACATTAGGAAAACACTGCATCTTCTCTAATCGGTATCAAACACAAAATAATGCTCAGCTGACTGCTGTCACTGTTCCTGTTAACAGAGACATCACTTGTTTGTTTTATTTACAGTGGATTGAATGGAAAGAAAATAAGTTAGACCACACAGGGACCTCATATCATCATAGGGACATATCTCTCAGCATTTCTGTCCCAATGAAGTAAGGGAGAAGAAGTAGTCATAGACAAATTCGTAACTTACCTCCACCAGCTTGTTGGCATGCTCACGGAACACCTGGGCATACTCCTTGACCTCCTTCTCATTCCCACTCTTAGCTGCTTCGATGAGCACCAAAAGAGGGACATTGGTCTCCAGGAATGAGTCAGAGATGTGGTCCATCACCGCCTTCCTCAGCTACAATACAGAGAGATATACGGCAAAGGGGTCACAATATTAATTATATAGAGGATGACTTATTCACTGCAGTTATTCACTGTATAACATTTGGCAATGATAACATATCAGTTAGGGCTGTAATAAATGTGGTGTAGAAACATAATGGGGTGAACAGGCAGAGACAGAGAGGTAATGCGGGAGGGAGGAAAGGAAAAAAAAAAGAGAAGAGGAGCTGTCAACGGGTAAGGCTCGTGAGATGTCCCATAAGTATTTCTAAAGGGACACTGTGACTTATGACTTTGTTTATGGAGTCATTTTGTATCAAACTGCCATAGGATGTTTTATTATTGTTTTATTGGTGGGTGAATAGTCCCAGATCTCAGACAGCGGCATGTCAAAAAATATCCAGTGATATGCCGGAAACACCCGCGTGGAAACCATTACAGGATTGTTCTTTATCTGAGAAAAGGAAGGAGTCGAGCGCGTGGGACCGAGCTCCAACGTCAACGGCAGACAGACACATGCACTGATTATGACTAACTATAAAAAGAAACAACAGAAAACGAAAACAGGATTATCTTCAGCTGGTTCTACCGAAGTGCTGCATCTATGTAGCACCGTGGAGTTTGCATGATTTCCAGGATCGTGGTCAGTAAATCTTGAATAACAAAACGCATTGAATTTTAATACACAAATATAGTGGAATTATCAGGCTTACGCAACTGCAACAGCCCTGTACCAGAAATACATTATCACTGCTATATTCATCATTATTATTATTATTACACTATCATGGTTATTACCACAAGTCAAACTGACTAATTCAGTTTCGCAAAACCAATGTTACAAGAAAAAACAACACAAATTAAATAGAATATTAGATATAAATTATTTAAAGAAACTGATTTTCAATAATCTATAACACATATAAGTGAAAACTATATATAATTGAGAATTTTCAAGACATCTTATGTGATTAACGGGTTAACATAGACAATATTGTTGAATTAAAAATGCAATAAAGGGTAGGGATGGCTTTGACTGACGAGAGAAAATGAATTTATTAAAAAATGAATTCATATGTAAGTCTGTCAGTTGCACTCAAATCACATTCAGCCATTACAAACTTAATTGCCAGCCCACAGAGAGGAGAAGAACAATGGAGAATTATGACTATCCAAGGGCAGAAAATCCATCACCACTGCCTTTGGAATATGACCAGAACAGGCCAATTGAGTGGACATGACAGAAGCATCTGCATGGGTATTTAGACACCCTGAAAAGCCCCACTTTATTTAAGCTCCCCTGATATCTTGCAGTTTACTGCTCTGAAGATATGAGAATGAGAGGCAAAAAACATTGCAGAATGCCTCTCTAAAAAGGTTGATCAGCTCTGGCATGTTTCTAATGTGAATGGCGTACCCTCATCGTCCTACAGGCTCCTCATAGGGGCAAATGGGTTGATTACCATCTGACCAAGTGGGAAGTGTGGAATCGGAACAGATAGCAATCCAGAAAAAAAAGCATTTTTCCCCACATTGTTACAGATTATGAGAAAGTGGTTATGGAATGCACTATTCATCTGGGGTCGGGGAAAAGATCTTGGTGTTATTGAATGCCGAAGAGGACTTTCATAGCAGTTTCTTGTTGAAAATCTTAAGATAAATCATAACAACAACGGTACCTCATTTGAAAGACAATTAAATCATCCATTGAAGCACAATGTCCGATTTACATTACATCAAAAGCTACAAATGGGCTATCTATCCTTTTTTTTTCAGATGTACACTGGTTGTGCATTAAATAAAATAGGGTGGGGTTTTCCTCAGGGTACTCAATGTACCTGAAAAGGCTTTCAATGAGCATTTTCATTTAGTTTAACTGTATTTAGAAAGATGTCTAACAAGACAGAGCAGACAGTCGAGTAGATAGCAGGCAAGGTCACTGAAGGTAAGGTGGAACGTTTTTTAAAAGAGGGAAACAGGAGATGAGAGGAAGCTGGTAGTTAACACGTTTGAGGCCTATGGCACATTTTTTGACCGGACCTAATAAAAGTTTAAATAATCTAAATTCTGTCGCTAAATTGTTTATGACCAACTGAGCAGTGCTGAGTTTAGGTATTTATACTGTGGAACTACATTCATGACAGAGAAGGAAATTTAAGGAAACCTGCATGAAGGATTTAGTTGATATGCCAACTTGTCAATGTTGGAGGGTATATCATTCTTTAAATTATTTATCAGGAGTCATTTCCTTTATTCCAGATAATACTGCCAAATCAATACGGGGTGTGGGGAACTAAATGCCTTTCCAGTATCAACACTAAAAATGATCAATTAAACTTTATTTTCATTCACATGATCGGTGATCACATGACCAATGTGATCTGGGATCAGACATTTGCTTTAGGTACTGCTTTTTATTTGTATCCAAGGCCATGTCCATGATACTATGGGAATTTCACTATAGATGTTTTTCATAAATATTACATTGCCCCCCTAGTCCTTAATGGATTTCTATTTTTCCTTGTTTTCTGACCTGATTACATAGTGAGTGTCATGGTTTCCTAGGTGCATGTATGTATGCTTGTCTTTTATTTTGAAGCTTCAACTACCAGGAGGGCGGTGAAGCACAGCTGCACCTGGTCATGGTGATCACCAGCAGAAGCATTTAAGGAGCCGGCTGTGGTTCATTCCTCCATGAACCTGGGACTCAGCCTGCCATCATTCCTCGGCCTTCCTGTCTGGCCTCCATCGGCACCAGCTCTTGTTTTCCCAGACTACCCTCTTGTGCCCGGATCTGGACTGTTTCCTCCCTTCCACAACTCACTTTCCAGCTGCATCACAGAAAACTTTATAATAAATCTTGTCGAAGGTCTCTGGTCTCCTGAGTGGCTCTCTGCATGTGGTCAATATGCTTCCTCACTCCGTGTCAGTGAGTTTACCTAAAAAATATGATAGGTTCCCATCTCACTGACCTCTCGTATTTGACTACTTTCTTTCATTTTGAACATAATTTAAAAACATGGCCTCTAGTTTCCAATCTCCCTCCATCTCTTTGTTGTCTAAATTTGAATTTCTATGGACTTATTCATGTTCAGAAAATGGGCCATACCTCTTTATGTCAACATTTGCACTCCTGCAGCTGTCTTAAACTTGAAATAGAAATAAAACATTGAAAATGAAAAAATGTTATTGAGTTAGCACTTTGCAGCACTTAGTTGTTAAGATAAGATCCTGAGCAAACATGTCAATTTTCACTCAGGATATCAAGATAATACTAATAAGGATTAAAGAAGAAAAAACAATGTACACCCAGGATTTTCAAAAGAGCCTTTTTTGTAAAAGAAACTGGATAGACATTCCGCTGCAAGTGTCACATTGATATTCATGATGGTAAGAAACTGCGATTAATTAATACACCATGTCGGCACATATGCATAATATGTATGTGGAAGTGTGCTGGGCCTTGGGATAGTCACAAATGCCCCACAGTGTAACAGAATCGGTTGGTAGATTTGAGTGGAAAAATGATACAGACGACTGATTTCCCAAGTTACAGTCTCTCTTGCACCATCAGCATTCTAATGCCCACACACCGCTCCCACAAAAATCCATCTTCAATATTTCAGATCTCCCCTCCACACAAGTTCCACTCCCACTGTCTCTCTTCTAACACTCCCTCTGTATCTCACTAACACTTAAAGGAAATAGAACTGGAATGCCAATAGATAGCAGAAGCTCTGCTCATTACAAGTTAGTGGGGAAGCTATTTGTCTCCATACTCCAGTGCTTCAACAGGGCTGGAGCTCTGAGAGCAATACATTTTTGTTTTACATATAGGCTTTCTCTCTGGATTTTTTATTTCTTTTTTTGAATCATTGACAAATGTAGTGGGTGCTGGGATAATATATATATATATATATATATTTTTTTTTTTTGCTCTGGAATGCCACCAGCATAATGGGAAGACATTTGCTGGCTGAGGTGAGGGGCGTTAGACAGATGCACTGATGTATCGGTACTTGTTTCAGAATTGCTTGTATGGACAGTAACGTGTTTAGCAGCTTATTTTTAATTTATCATTACTCGAAGTGGTGGAGTTACCACATAGAAGTAGCTTGACCATATCATTATCTCATAGCAGCGTCTTAAATAGAGCTGCAAACTCACAGAGCACCTTTCAATGCGGGGTGAATTAGAAAATCAATTTTTACTCTGGCTTGACCTTTAGTTTATGTCTAGAGCCAAATGGAACATATTCTAGTTGCTAAAGTAAGACTTTTTTTTAGCCTGTTAACCTCTGGAATCTTATTAAAGTGATATTCCAGACGTTTTACAGATTCTTCAAAAGAGGGTGACGAAAGAATGAGCAACACACATTTTTATTGTGGTCTTTTCCCCGTGAAGATTAATTCATACTCTCTGTGACTAACACAAAAGTGATTGTTTAATTCTACTGCTAATTTGCTTGCTGTTAATCACAGTAAATGCCTAAATTTTGAATAAGAAAAAAAAAGTTGGAATAAGGCAGAAAGTCTCTGTGGCTTGGGTTAGAACAGGGCTGACGTTAAAGACATTCTGTCCCATCTTTAGCTCAATTAAAAACAATAAAATAACAGATTTACACATTTTATTAAGATTAGAATTGGGTATTGGGCAATGATCTTGAGGAAAAAAGTCTTTAATCCAATGCAGAGGGACTGGTATTGAGGGAAAAAAGGGGTCTGTCTACCAGTGGGGAATCAAACTGGGGACAAAGCAGTTCTAATATACAGTAAGAGCTTCAACCATTAAAAAGTTGTGCTGCGGTTGTTAGTTAGCCAGCCATGTGTGCCTGATGGATCATCTATGCTCCCATAAGTGGCCATAAAAAGGAGCAAAGAATACTGTATGAATTAACATATCTTTAAAGGGTGTGAGTGCAGTAGCTGTGTACTGCATGGACATGACTTCCTCACATCAGAGCGGAGCTTGAGTTAAAAAATCATTTTCTTTTGTATAGCTGCATTTTATACA